TATTATAAATTATGATGTAATTAAATTATATAAAATTAAGTTTTAATGGGTAATTTTATAATTATATTAAATATTAAGTTTTTTTTGTAAAAACTATAGTGAAAAAGTTTCAAAATGAGACTTTTGACTTTATACATAAAAATATTATAAATCTGTTGTGACTTTCTACTGCTTTTAAAATAAGCAATTAAAAAAAAAATACTAAACACATATATTTAAAAGTGCTATATGGTTACACAAAAAAACTTCAAACCGTAATCCCAAACGCACCCTAAATAATAATAAATGAAGTAATTATTTTTGTATTTAACCTACATGTTTCCTTATTATACTCCTAATGTGGGATTTTTTTTAATTCAACAAAGATTTCAACTTTGCTCTAAGTGACCAACAATATTTGTTACTCTTTCAAGAGTTAGAGAGTATTTGGGAGAATAATATTTTAAAATTTAGAATACTTTTTTGGTGGTTAGAATTGGGTTTTGAGAGATATTGTAATAAAAAGATGAGTTATTGAAGTGGAATAGCATCGATAAAATTATATTGCACGATTGCCTTTACACCCATAAGTTGAAAGAGAATGCTTGAATATAAATTTAACTCTCAAGAAAAAGACTTAAAGAATGAATTAAGTATAAATCATAATCAAACCACTATAAATCACTTTGTTTTTTATTTTTCTCTTCTCTACTCTTTGAATTTTTATAATTTAGCTTGTCTGTGTGTGCTTCCCTTGCTTGTTCATTTATTTAAACACAAAAATTACATAATTTTTTAAAAACATAATTTATCATCTCGAGTTGTCATCTTTTGGGCCAACAATACACAACTTTGTCTCCCCCTTCTTTTTTTCACCGTAGAGCATGACAAAGCCAGTGACGGAACATTTTACGCAACTTTGTCTCTCTTTTTTTTTCACCGTAGAGCATGACAAAGCCTGTGACGGAACATTTTGGTCTTAATTTGTTGAGTGTGAGAATGGTAGCTTCACTTGCATCTTGCACTTGGTCCTGATTTGCTCAAGTGCAAATTTCATTTTCTAATAAAATATAAAAAAAATTAAAACGTCCAACAGAAAAGTGCTTGTGCACTCAAGTCGTGGTGTTGATAGGTCCAACCGCAAATTTCCTTTTTATTAAAAAAAATTAAGACTTCCAATAAAATTATAGAAGGAACACTGTATACTCGAGCCCACATAGAAAGTCCAAATCTAAACTTTTGTTTGGTGAACTGATTAATTTAATTGATTTTTTTATATATAGTTGCATAATAAAAAAAAATTATTTTTGTTTTTTTTTTTTTTGAATTCAGTAAAAAGCATATCATTTCATCATAGCCGTACGGCATCTACAAAGAAATTCGAATGACATTGATGAAATAACAAACAGATTAAGCACAATTGGAGAGAAAAAGAAAGTAAATCAAATTTACATAAAACAAATAAAGGAGGACAATAAGCATTTTACACGAATAACTGCTAAGGAAGTAGATTGACAGATTCCTTTAATCGATCATTTCAGAGATCTGGACATCCAATCATCTACTCTCATAAATTACACCTATTCTCCAGAATGCCGTGGTTGGAACAATAGATCAAGCGGCGAGCACCCCTAAATTCTTCATGATTGGTTTGTTGGCTACCAGATCTGAGAAAACTAAAACAAGAAAATAAGAAACTGAAGGAAAAGAGAGCAAAGGCCACCAACAGGGCCACAAAAGAATCGATAGACCATCTAAAGTGGTCACCGAACATAGGAGCACAATGTATCGGCTCCACCATACTTGAGAAGCCCTTCGCCTGTTTAAGCATCAAAAGCTCTAGAAGCCTGGAGGCTTCCAAGCAACCAAAAAGTGGATGAGAATTGGAGAAGTTTGAGGTAGAGGCTAGAGAAGAGAGAGAGAGGAGAAAATTAGGTCAGCCCCTTGTTTTTTAATTCACACTATTTGCATAAATACTTAGGGTGTGTTTGGAATTGCAGTTGAGAGTTTTTTCGTGTAGCCATACGGCACTTTTAGATATATGTGTGTTTGATAATTTTTTTTTTCGAATTGCTTTTTTTCAAAGCAACAAAAAGTGACAAAAATCTACAGTAATTTTATGTATAAAACCAAAAGTCTCATTTTGGAGCTTTTTTATTATGGTTTTTATGAAAAAAACATAATATTTAATATAATTATAAAATTACCCATTAAAACTTAATTTTATATAATTTAATTACATCATAATTTATAATACTATAATAATTAAAAAAATTTAAAAAACCTAAATTATTAAAAAATAATAAATATTATATATTTTAATACTTATATATCTTATAATATTTTTTAAATTTTAATTAATAATTAATAAAATTTATCATATTTCATCTATAATACTTTAAAAAAATAAATAATTAAATACTAAAATAACTTTCAGCCACAGTTATAGTATAGTATAACCACAACTAAGCACAACTACAGTACTTCACAACAATTCCAAACGCACCTTTAGTCTTGTTGACCATTTGAATTAATTTTTTTGAAATAATTAATAGTTGATAGTTGATATAATTGGTAGGAATATCTCTTGTACTCCATTAATTAATAAAAATAAATTATTAATAAAAAAATAATTTATAGTTAATATGACAATTATTGATATTTATAATTCAAAATATTTAATTGGTTTGATTAAAAATAACTATTAGTAGTTATTTTTAAAAAATTAATACAAACACTCCTTTGATTTGTTCAAGTGCAATTTCTTTTTTTATAAAAACTTAAAAACTAAAACACCCAATAGAAATAGTGCTTGTGCACACAAGTCTTGATGTTGATAAGCCAAAATAGAAAAAAGGTGTAAATAAGAATACAATTTTATATTTTTTTATTTAAAAATATTAATTTTATTAATTTTTAAATAAAATTATTAATTATTAATTTTTATATAAATATGTTTTAATTTTTTATTTAAAGATGTTAATTTATTTTAAAAAATTCATTTGTCATGGTAGCATGCTTATCTAATTAATTTTTAAATAAAAAAATTAGAAGTTAATATTTTTAGATAAAAAAATAAAAATTAATAAAATTAATATTTTTAAATAAAAAATATAAAAAAGCATTTTTAATTGTACATTTTCTCACCCAAATACAAATTTTTTTTATTAAAAAATTTATTTTTTTTATTTTGGTTACACAATGAAAGGCAACAATTTTTCATCCCTTAACCTACTTTACCCGCATACCATGTGACTCAAACTCAGGATTTTTTACTTACAGCAAAAAGAGATGATCACTGAATTACTTAATTAGTTGACATTAAAAAATTTTAAATATCCAATTAAAATAGCCCTCTCCACATAAACCAACATAGAAAGTCAAAACTTAAACTCTAATTTGTTGAACTGATCAAATCTAATTTTAATTTTTTATCTTAAATTATGTAATAGTAAAAACAATTTTTTTTATTTTTTAAATCATTTTATTTATATATTATATGATCCAAATTAAAAAAAATTTTAATTAAAAAATTATTATGAGAGATTAATTAACTAATTCTTATAATAGTCCCTTAAAGTTGAAACTTGCAAAATCTAAACAAATTAGAATTTCAAACCCATCTTCTTAAAGCCACCTTGCTTCTCCTCCTCATCCTGACTAATTTCTCCCAATACTGCCTCTTCCCTTTCTCACTCTCTTTCTTTCCAAAGACTAAATTTTCGTAAGCTGCACATAGCTTTTGCTGATGACGATGGCTTAAATGAAGAAATTGTTTCCTTTAATGGCAATCACAATCGGTCCAGCTTGTCCTATCACAATCGGTCCCGCGCCAGGATCATATTTTCTTAAAACCAATCCTCTCCCCCACTTTCGAACACTCCATTGCCGCCGCGATTCCAGAACCGGCCTTCGCCTTAACCCCTCTTCATACCTGTGAGAAGGAAAAAGAAGTCTACTGTGGCCATGACTTCCTCCTGTTGAAATCCAATGACTTTCGGATATTTTTGTATTCCAATAGCTGGAGGAAGTGGAAATCAGCCTCAATGGCCGCAGAACTCTTTCTTCCTTCCGGGTATGCTCCCGGGAAGTTCAGGTGGAGGGCGGTTTTTGTAATGGAGGCTGCGGTGGAGGGTTTGAAAGTGGGGAAGAGAACTGATTGAAAATATATCATGATCCTTGGCGCTGGACCGATTGTCATTAGACAGGCGTGTGAGTTCGACGAGTACTCTGGGACGCAAGCGTGCAAAGTGCTGAGAGAAGGTACAAGGTTATTTTGATTAATTAATTCGAACAGGGTATATGGATATGGTGGAGCAAACATAAAACACTCCGATGAGGCCGGAATTTGTGTAGCAAGTCCAGGAAGAGGAGCGTCTTGTTGCCCTGCTTCCGACCACGAGTGGGGCACTGAATCTTGCAGTAGCATTTAGACGCCCTGGAAGATACGGTGCGCTGATTGGTGCAGGAGACAGGGATTTTCCGATTAAATTTTTTTAAAAAAAATTCCATGAAATTTCGAGCATAAACCATCCACACTTTTGGATTTATTTTTTTTTTTATAAAGTTTAGGGAAAACTGTTTGAGTCCGGATTGATGGTGCCGATCCTCATCCTAGAGTCGTTATCTTATGGTCTATATTAATAATGCAAAATATGAGGCTCTAACAGTATATTTCAATTAAAATTTATATTGTAAAATATGAGACTAATGGTACATATGGGTTAGGGGTATAGAGAAGAGATGAGGGAAATTTTTTTTATTTAATTATTAAAAGAATTAGAGGGGAAGAAAGGGAAAATTTTTCTTTTATTTTATTTTTTATTTTAATTTATATACTTATTTTTTTCCTTTCCCTCAACCTAAACATTTGATAAAGTTAATATCCAGAAAAAGATATTTTTGAAAATTATTTTCAAACAACAGTGGGATAAATCGAGGAGAATATTTAATTGAACTTAATTATAGGGACTCAATTGAAGAAATCAAAATCTAAGTGACCAAATGTAAGGCGGAGCGAAGAAGACAATGCGAAGGATCAACATAAAAAAGACGAAGGACAAAAATGTAAAGAAAAAGGCTAAAATCATTTCAGTCCAAAAAAACAAAAATAAATAAATAAATAAATAAAATCTGGGAAGTCATTTCTTTCCTTCGATGCAGTGGGAATAACATGTTACGAGATTATGAGGAGACAAGCACTGCTTTTAAAAATTATTTGTTACAGAAGAAGCTACAGTTTGTAGGAAACATTGCATAGAGATTTATAAATTTGTGTTGCAGTTGGGTTGAAAGCTTCAAGCTTATTTTTTTTAAGTACGACTTATGCTGCTAAACAGAAAAATTGTAAAGACCGGGATAGCTTAAACCTGGTTGCTTAATTTTAATCTACTAGTCTGACAATATTTGTAATTTACTTATCGTCGAAAATTAAATAATAAATTTGTCTTTCTCTATTCATTATCACAGTTGTTGTGACAATACTTCAAATTTCTTAATTAATTGTAACCTGTAGGTGCAAGAATAGATATTTAATGCTAGAAGGGAAGGTATGAACCGTACAATTAGTTGAGAAAATTGTGTATAGTTCATATTTAGAAAATGACACTGATACATACACCTTTAAAAAATTACGCATTTCGTTATATATTAACGATTTTGGTTAGTGTGCTCATTAAAATTAATGAAAATCGTTAATTTTAATGGTAAAAATAATGCAAATCATCAGTTTTAATGGTACAAAAAATAAAAACAGTCAATTTTAACGATACATTGATGAAAACAGTAAGTGTGTAATTTTGAAGGGTGTATATATTATTTTCTTTTAAAAAATTAAAAATTTTTTTAGAATTATCACGTTTTAATAAATTTTTATTAAAAAATTAAAATAATTTATTTTAGATTAAAATAAGATTAAGATTATTTTAGTTTTTTTAATAATGTTTTATTAAAAATGACATAATTTTAGATTTTTTTTACCCATGAATAATTTTTTTTAAATTTAGTTAATAAACATTAATATTTAATTAGGCAGTGTAATATATGAACAATTTTTTTGTACAACTTTTTATACAACTTATATGGGTCATTAAATAAGTGGATACATTCAATATTACAAGTTTTAAATGAATAAAAAAAATAAATCATTTAAATGATACATAAGGTTGTATAAAAAATGGTAAAAAAAATTATTCTTAAAACATTTTCCTATTTGATTACTACATTAAAACCTCAAATTATTTTTTTAAGTACAATATTAAATAAATTATCTTCATAATTTGACGGGGTCAAGATAAAAATAAAATCTTAAAGTATTCCTGTGAAAGTTGCATGCTAATGAACCAATCACACAATTTAAAGTAGAATCATATACATAATGATATGTCATTAATTAAATATATACTTATAATATTACACTACCATATAAAATTAAAAAAAGCTTGACTATGAATAAATGATAAAGAATTTTAATAAGTACTTGATCAAACAGGCTAGCATCAATTGGCATTATAAATTGTTCATGTTTTCGCTGAAATGATATGATTCAACTCTATTCCAAACTTAATTTTCTAAGAGAGAGACAAACAAGTGTCCAAATTATATTTTCCATGCTATAGGCAAATGTTAGCACAGATGAACATTTCAAAACCAATCATGAATAAAAAAATATCAAATGTAACTAATAAGACATTAGTAACTCCAATATCCATCTACATATATGATATATACATGACGACAATATTTCAAATAATTAACTTGTAGTAATAGATAAATATTCAGTAGATTTGTCAAACATAACTTTTGAGACCCTTTTCGTACGTGGCTTATGAAGTTCTTATATCGAACTTGTTTCACTCTTTCTTATCTCAATCCAGTTCAATCCTAAATCCTTTTAAGAACTATTCTTTTTTTTTTTTTTGATAGAAAATAGAGAATTATATTAACTACAAAGAGATTACAGATGAATCTCAAACAAGGCATAATAGCCATATTAAGGACAGAAGCATAACCTACAGCATTATTAACAGATTTAAACTGTGCCCATGACATATATAGACAATTAAGCGAAGAGAGCCATCTATAACTAAAGATTGTAGCTACAATCGCTGTATGGGCAAAAATAGGGCTACAAAAGTAGAAAAGGAGGTCGCTATGAGTGTCTGAAACTATTGGACGTCCTCACCTATTTAGCCAGCTTCACGGGGAGAGCAGGGAAAATTTGACATCAGCAGTCCCCAACCCACTATATGTCGTCCCTAAAACAGTTTCAATCAAATAGCAGGGCCATGATCAACCCAGGCACCTCTCTTGTCGCCCTGGGCTCCCAACCGCGCCCTAACTATTCCAATCCTTTGCAAGCCCTTGTTGCCAAATTTCAATAAGGGAACTAGAGCCCCTTTTAAGA